AACCCGTCACCAGTCATCATCACCAGCGGTCATCATCATCACCACCACCACCATCATACTCAGTCGTTCAGAATCGATCACCATCACAGGCCTCAAAATGGGGGAAGTATCCGGCGGGAGGCTCGTCTGTGAGCGAATTGCGAGGACGTCTCAGGCGGGAGCCCTCTCCCTATGGGGCTCGCATTCCTTGTTTCTAATTCGAGCGGGTCATCCTCGAACCTGTAATTGTCGTCACTTTTGGGCTCCTGAGGCGTGGATATTGAGGAAGTATCCGGCGGGAGGCTCGTGTGTGAGTGAATTGCGAGGACGTCTCAGGCGGGAGCCCTCTCCGTATGGGGCCCGCGCACTTCATGTTTAGAATCCGAACGGGTTATCTTCGAATCTATAACTGACGTCACTTTTGGGCTCCTGAGGCCTGAATTGTGGGAAGTATCTGGCGGGAGGCTCGTCTGTGAGTGACTTGTGAGGAAGTCTCAGGGGACCTCTCCCTATTGGGCTCGCATTTCATGTTTCTAATCCGAGCGGGTCATCCTCGAACCTGTAATTGTCGTCACTTTGGGGCTCCTGAGGCTTGAATATGGGAGTATCGGGCAGGAGCCTCGTTTGTGAGTGAATTGCGAGGACGTCTCAGGCGGGAGCCCTCTCCCTATGGGGCCCGCATCTCATATTTCTAATCCGGGTAGATCATCCTCGAACCTGTAACTGTCGTCACTTTGAGCTCCTGAGGCTTGAATATGGAGGAAGTATCCGGCGGGAGGCTCGTGTGTGAGTGACTTGCGAGGAAGTCTCTGGCGGGAGCCCTCTTCCTATGGGGCCCGCGCTTCATGTTTATAATCCGAGCGGGTCATCCTCAACCCTGCAACTGTCGTCACTTTTGGGCTCCTGAGGCGTGGATAGGACGGAAGTATCAGGCGGGAGGCTCGTCTGTGAGTGAATTGCGCGGAAGTCTCAGGCGGGAGCCCTCTCCCTATGGGGCCCGCGCTTCATATGTCTGTCGTCATTTTGGGGCTCCTGAGGCCTGAATATGGGGGAAGTATATGGCAAGAGGCTTGTCTTTGAGTATGTTGCGAGGGAGTCTCAGGCGGGAGCCCTCTCCCTATGGGGCCCACATTCCATGTTTATAGTCCGAGCGGGTCATCCTCGAACATGTAACTGTCGTCACTTTTGGGCTCCTGAGGCGTGGATATTGGGGAAGTATCCGGCGGGAGGCTCGTGTGTGAGTGATTTGCCAGGAGGTCTCAGGCGGGAGCCCACTCCTTATGAGGCTCGCATTTCATGTTCGATTCTAATCCGAGCGGGTCATCCTCGAACCTGTAACTGTCCTCACTTTTGGGCTTCCGAGGCCTGAATATAGGGGAAGTATCTGGCGGGAGGCTCGTCTGCGAGTGAATTGCGCGGAAGTCTCAGGCGGGAACCTTCTCCCTATGGGACCCGCGCTTCATGTTTCTAGTCCGAGCGGGTCATCCTCGAACTTGTAACTGTCGTCACATTTCGGCTTGTGAGGCCTGAATATGGAGGAAGTATCCGGCGGGATGCTCGTCTGCGAGTGACTTGCGAGGAAGTTTCAGTCGGGAGCCCTCTCCCTATTGGGCCCGCAGCTCATGTTTATAATCCGAGCGGGTCATCCTCGAACTTGTAACTGTCGTCACTTTTGGGCTCCTGAGGCCTGAATCTAGGGGGAAGTATCGGGCAGGAGCCTCGTCTGTGAGTGAATTGGCGGGAGCCTTCTCCCTATGGGGCCCACACTTGTCGTTTTTGATCCGAACGGGTCATCCTCGAACCCGTAACTGTCTTCACTTTTGGGCTCCTGAGGCCTGAATATGGAGGAAGGAAGTATCAGGCGGGAGGCTCGTCTGCAAGTGACTTGCGCGGAAGTCTCAGTCGGGAGCCCTCTCCCTATGGGGCCCGCGTTTCATGTTTGATTCTAATCCGAGCGTGTCATCCTCGAACATGTAACTGTCGTCACTTTTGGGCTCCTGAGGCCCGAATATGGGGGGAGATTCAGGCGGGAGCCTCGTCGGTGAGTGAATTGTAGGGAAATCTCAGGCGGGAGCCCCTTTCCTATGCGGCCCGCACGACAGTGAAGGTTATTTCCAGACTAGACGAAAGGCTTTTCATGTGGGGTCTTTCCGTCGGAGTCATTGTCTGCTGCTGCGCAGGTGCGCCATCAGTCAGTCCGTACCCCGGTCTAGCTTGACGAGACACAGGGCAGCGGAAGGCACGACGCTCCGACGAGAGGGGACGGGCTCGGGGGGTAGCATCGACCCCCGATCGCCCATCCCTCGCCGATCGGAGCCCGGGGGCCCCAACCTGCCCGGGATCGTTTCCCGTTCGGGGGCCCTGTCGACGATCGAGCGGTGTCGTGCTCAGACGTCGGGCGTCGGGCGCGACGGGCATGGCTGACCTTCTCAAGGGGGTTCGGGCCGGGAGGGCGGTTCGGGGCTTCGGTTCCCCCCCCCCCCTGCCATGCCCGGGGCGCGCCGGTCCGCGCCAGTGGCCGATGCTGGTCCACGTCTTGCGTCTTCCGTTGGGCGCTGCGCCACAGCGCAGAAGCAAGGGCTTATGATTCTGCGCGTTCGGTCTGTAGATCGGCGCGGGGGCACCTCAATCAGTCGCGCCCTCCAGCAAGCCCAATTCGGGACATCAGGGAGTGTCTGATAGTCCGAGAGCGCTTCGAACAAGGCATGCCAGGGTCATGAGCTGCTCGTCCTCCGTCATATCCAGCGGGGTCAAGAATGAGAGCTCGAATCCGATGGCGCGTTTGCAAACCACGCGAGGGGCACAACTTTGTAGCCATCCAGCAATTCGAAGGGGGCTAAGGAATGCGAGATTGAATCCGAGGGCTCTTTCCTGACACACCTTGCCAGTGGCCGCGTATTCTGGGGCCCCTAGCGTGCCCTACCAGGGTCAGGGAGAACGGATCTGAAACACAAGGCGTGTTTGGAAACCACACAATGGGCATCAGTTGCTCTTCTGCCATCGTCCCCAGGGAGGCAGGGAGGTTCCGAGGCGACGAGTCTGCAGGTGGGCCCGCCTGAGAACACCACATGGCAGGGGCCACGCGCTCTCGCTCGTCGTTCAGCACTCCCCACGGGGAGCAACAAAAGTATGAGCTCGGACCCGTGTGCCTCGATCGTTTGGTGAACTGTGTGCCAGCGACTTGTTCAACGGTCTCGCGGAGGGTTCGTGGCTGGGGCGCGGGTCGCCCTACAGTCAACCCGCAGAGTAGGGATGGGCAACCTTCCCAGGGGTACCCTTGCATCCTTGCCTCCTGGGTCCATCCTTGGCCACGTTCGTTGGCCGCGTCCCGCTCGAGAAGCTTCGAGGTGGGCTTCCAAGGCCCTTGCATCCTTATCGATCATCCTTACTATACTGGTCGACTGTAGATGCCCTTCAGACGACAACTCACCCTTCTCGTTGGCACACTGTGCTGGAACAGCTTTCCCTCGTCAAATTTGCGTGCTGGTGCCCACGCCGCTGGTTGCTGGAACCACTGCCCCTCGTAAGAGCTGGGCGCTGGAGCCCACTTCCTTGTCGGCACGAGCTGCTGGAGTCACTTGCCCTCGTGAAAACTCGGCGCTGAAGCCTCATCCCGCTCAGCGCTTCAAGCATGTAAATTGGGCGAAGGGAAGGGGATAGGACGGGGCCCAGGGGTGGGGGTCCCAGCATTACAGTCACGCCTCGTTCTTCAACGGGGGCAGTGCGTGCGTGTGCGCGTGTATGTGAGTGCGCGCGTGTGCGTGAGCGAGCGCGTGTGCGTGTTCGTGCGCGCGCACGTGCGCAGGCTCGGGAGGGAGCGCAAGCCCGAGCGCGAGGCTGAGACCGAGCCCGATCCCAGGCCCCATCCTGTACGCGTGCGCGTGCGCGTGCGCGCGCGCGTGTCCGTGCCGTTGCGCATGCGCTTCCGATGCGTTAACATGCGATGCCACATGAGGGACAAGAGTGATGGCTTGAGTCCGAGAGCGTTTCGGAAAACCGTGTCAGTCGCAGCACATGCTCTCCTCAACAGTAGTTCGAACTTTGTTTGAGGCCGCTTCGGGAAGCAGCACCATTGGCAGCCACCCCTTGCCTTCCAGCATGCCCGCTGGTGGTCAGGATCGAAGGCTCGAGTCTGAGGGCGTCTGGGACAAGCATGTCAATGCCACCAGTTCCACGCTCTCCAAAATACTGCCGATGTGAGTTTATCGGTGCCTTTGCACATGGGTCGCCCCTTTGGCCTCCCTCAGACCCGAGAACCAGCCGGGGTCCCATGCACGCGGCGGTGGTTCCTCGCCGCCTGGCATGCCCAGTGGAAGGCAGGAAAACGGATATGGTTTGAGGGTGTCTCGGATGGCCAGCCCAGGATCAGCATGCATTCGACCTCTTGCATGCCCCACGGGGGACGGGAACAAGCGTTTCAGTCCAGACTGTCTCTGCGAACAGCTCCAGTGCTAGCATGTTGTCGCCCTTCACCTTGCCGAAAGAGTGGCCAGGAGCACACAAGTGGGCTCGAGCTTGACGATGTTGTGCGATGCCATGGCAGGGGCAGCACCGTCATGCCCATAGGGGGGGTCATGAGGGTGAGTTGAAATCCAGTGCCATGTCGGGGCATTAGCCCCAGGGTAGCATAGCCTAGCCCTCCAGCATGCCCTATTGGAAACAGGGTAACACTTCAATTCGGGGTGCGCTTCGCACACCTTTGCCAGCGGCATTATATCTCTGCCTTATAGAATGCCATTCGTGGGCTTCATGAAGGCGTTGACATTCCATGGATATGAAAATCAAGGCTGACGTGAAAATTGCCATGTGGGGTGTTTGAGTTGTTCACTCTCAAGGAACAGCAGCATTAACCTCGGTTTTCCTAATGGTTTAGTTCACACAAAACAACAAGCATTGCCAGGAGGCAATCCAACGGAACACATATGCATGAGTTGTGAAGTACGGAAAGCAGGCTGGCCACATCACGCCTTGTTGTCCCCACGAGAGGAGAGTCCCCGCCAGCGCGAAATTGCCTTGCCAAGGTCAAGTGCCGATGGGGCGGCAGCTAGCAATCCCACGCACGACGCGGAGATCTGAACGCTTGCTTAGCGCTGGCGCACCGGTGCTCTCAGCTTCTCTTCCATTCTAGAGCCTGGGAAAGGAAACACCACAGAGTTGAGATCTGCACTGGCGATTGGGCGCGTCGATGTGCTCGTGGAGTTCCCTGGGGCCCCACATGGGCGTTTTGATGTGTGCATGCAGTGTCCCTCGGGCGCCCGCCGCTTGCAAGTGGGAGCTGATTGTGCAGTTGTGTGTTGCCTCTGGTCTCCAACGGTTTTTGGGCTGGGACCGCAGTAGAAGGGCGGAATGGTCGGACGTTGCCCGCATGGTGGCTTGAGACATTTCCAAGCAGCTGAAGGCAGAGCACACACGAACTCACCATCTGCGTAGCGACTGAGTTGCTGCTTGGCCTGAGCAGTTAGGTCGTCAGTCATAATATGTCTGTCCGAGGGCTGGGTGCGATCTTCCCCAGATTCAGATCCCGTTGCTCGAGGTCTCCAGCGTGGTCTCCGGAGTCTCCCGCATGGTTTCCCGCACGGTCTCCCGCAAGGTCTCCGTTGTGGTCTCTTTTCGTGCGCTCGAGTCGGAGCCGCGAGGTCCCGGGTAGGGGGCAGGCAGCGACGAGCGAAGCAGAGACATGCAGCGGCCAAGCATGCGCGCAGGCGTGCGGAGGGGGTGGGGCGACAAACAAGCACGGCCGCAAATACGCGCAGCAGTTTCATACAGCACGTACACATGCATTTATACAGACGTGCAATGATTCATATGCATGTAGACACACACATATACAGATACATATATATATATATATATATATACAAAACTGCTGCAGTGGCGCTTCGCGCCATGCACCTTGGTTCTTAAAGTTTGGTATGCAGGCGGACTAGCAGGAAGGTCAAGCTGACAATTTAGCGATAACTCCTTGTTGCCTTTTCCGGCATCGCCGCTAGAATAATGTTATTCGTTATCTTTCCTCCATGCTTCTTCCTTGCGCGGTCTCTCTGAACGACCGGGTCACGATTTGGAATATTTCGGAGGATGTCTTGGGGCCATCTTGGGCCGCCATGGGGCTCTCTGAGGGCCATCTTGGCCCCCTGTTGTGCCATTTTGGGGCTCTCTTAGACTGCCTGGAAGCCCTTTCGGATGGTTGTGGGGCGTTTTTGGAGCCTCCCAGGCGGCTTCGGACGCCCAGAAGACCACCGTCTTGGAGCGTCGGGAAGCCGAAAAGAGGAGAACCCCCAAATTCACCAAAAACCAACAAATCTCCATATTTGTTGCCTCTTGGGGCCTTCTTGGGAGTGCTCTTGGAGGCCTCTTGGGACGTTTCGGGACGATCTTTGGGGGTATGACGGCTTCTTGGGGGTCGTCGTGGACCGTATTGGGGCTCCCTGGGGTCGTTTCGGGAGCGCACCGCGCCCTACGAGGCCCCGGAGGTGTCCCTTGGAGGCACGTCCGGAGGGTCCCAAAGCCCCAGATCCCGGGAGTCCGGTGTTTGGGGGGGGGGTCCCCCCGCCCGGGCTTATTAAATACAGGAAGAGGAATACGTATCTATATTTAAGTATTTATATATAAGCGTATGTATATATACATCTACATTTATATATATATATGTATGCACAAGCATATATCTACATTCATGTTCACTCATATATATGTGTGTGTGTGTGTGTGTGTGTGTGTGTGTGTGTGTGTGTGTGTGTGTGTGTGTGTGTGTGTGTGTGTGTGTGTGTGTGTGTGTGTGTGTGTGTGTGTGTGTGTGTGTGTGTGTGTGTGTGTGTGTGTGTGTG